AGAGGTCACGGAAATCCATATGTACAGCACACAACTCAGAGCCTTGAAGAAGATTTGCTTCCCCCGATGCACTCCTGGAGTCGACAAATGTTTACTTTGATGCCAAAGAATCTCAGTGGTACTTAGCCACTTGGCTCCAAACACAATAACACTGCAGATGCTGAATATATCCACTAAGTGAGCAATCAGCTGCAAAGTGGGCTGAAAATTTCACTTATCCCCCCCATGATGATATGCATAGAGAAATAAATCAGAGAGCAAGAGAAGGAGCAGAGGGGCAAGGGGGAGAAGTGGTATCACCTGATCTGTCTTATCTTAAAAAGCAGCGGGATGTGGCAACTCAACTCTTCAGAAAAAGAGATAGAACCCTCCTGGCACATTTTTATAAGAAAGATTTCTGTGAAATGATTGCTAATCTATGCAAAAAAAGCAATCAGTGACTCATTCATAATGCATGAGCAACGAGATACCAATTTTGCAACGCTTTCGGATTATTAGATGTTATCGTGAATGCAGCAGATGAAATATGAACACTCCTACCTGTCCCATTGTAATTACATGACTGCAGTGGTCCAGAGATACACTGGAAGAGGGGAAAATGTGAAGAAAGAAACATACAGAGACAGACAGACCATCAGATAGAAACATCCATTACAATCTGACTGCAGATAGCTCTAGATGGGAATATTTGTTTCTAACAGCTTTATGTATCCATTTGTGCCATGATTTATCAACCTAAAAGCTGTGGTTTTAAGTACATCTGGCTGACATTTTAATGGTCCATCAATCACATGGTGTCATGTGATAACATTTTGAGATCATCCTCCTCCCCGAGCCACTGAGGGGAAAAAAAAAACGGAATCCAATAAATTGGCTGCAATCCCAGGGAAATGATGAGAACCTATTTTGAATTCAAAGCAAGTTCAAAGTATGAATGTTAGATAAGCTGCTTCTCAAATTAATGCAAATCAAATTTCATTTAGGATGTTTTTGTTCTATATAGACCCTCATGTACTGAATATATTTCGGTGCCAGTAAGCTGCAGTTTAAAGCCTGACGCCGGAAAAAAAAAACAACATTCCTGTTTGGATTATTGGATTCAGATTAGTTCATGATTTAATGCAATGTATTCTTGAAGTCGAATGTGTTTCTCGGGCATGAGCCCTTCATGCATCAAAAACAGGAAGAGCTAAACTGATTTAACATATATCCTTGTCGATGCCAAAAAAGTAGTCAAATAAAACTTTGACTCAACCGAAAATACTGGGCATACCTTTCTCTCTCCCCCAAAGGCAACACAAACAGGCAGAGCTAAAGTGATGAAGCTTGACCTTGTGCCCTGAACTCAACCTCCCATTCAACTGGTCCCATATGAGACAGAGACTGGAAGAATGTAGCACAGCCTCTCTTCTTCTTTTTTCCGTTTAAACATTTAAAAAAAAAAAAAGCAAAAAAAACAGTGATGCCGAAGCCTGACTTTTTTTAACTTGAGTGTTAACGTGTCTGGATAGCACCTGGAAGCCTTGTGAAAAGCGCTGACAGATTTCGTACTTCTACATTCTGGGCAACTTCGACACAAGGGATTTGCTCTTAAAACGGAGCACAGCAAGGATGAAGGGTGGTATAAAAATCAATGAGGCTTTTCAAAGGCAACATGAAAAACCAGCGCCTTAGCCTGCAATTAAACAAGAGCGCTCCTGGCACTGAGGGATGACAGAGTATGTTGCAGATGCCCTCAACTTCACAGGATCAATTACGGGATCAATACTATGACATGATACAATTCCATGATGGAAACTAGGACGTGGACTGGAGTTGCTCTGTGTCATGTGTTTCAGATGTTTACAGTAATACAGCTCAAGCAGGTCTGTACACTGTGGGCCCATTTCACAAGCATTAAAAGAAGCCCAGTTCTAGACCAAACAGACTCTCCAGGTGGAAACCTCATTTGAAATATTTTGTCTAAGAACAGTAAAGGTTCCCAGTCTGGGGGTCAGGAGGCCCACAGGGGCTCGCAAAATAAATCTGAGGGGGGAATGAGATGACAGAATGTCTTGTTTACAGGATGTGAAAGTAGAAAAAAAAAACATTTTTTCCACACAAAATTATTTCTATTTTAAGACCTTTCCCTGATATTGACTTTTTTCAGCCATGCAAATGGCATTGTTTTCATTTCAGTCTATTGACCTGTCAACCACTTTGGTCCTCGCTGATCTCAGATATCCTTTTCCCCGTGGACATTCATGGTTGCTAGATGATGCATCCTAATCAGTTTGGAGACTTTTCCTGTAACACCATCACATGATTTATAGATGTATAGTTTTTAGTGAATATGCCTATCACTTCTGGCTGAATTACCACAAATTTGGCACCGACATTAGTTTATCAACATTTTTAGTTGAACATTTTAAGACCAAATCTGCAAATGACATTCAGCTGCACTTTGTGTTTAATCCTGATTAGCAAATATTTGCATGTTAAAGGTCTATTTCGTTGTGTTTTGGGAATTTTAACAGTGATTTAAAACCAATTAACATGGACTGTGTGGGTTACTGTGTTTTCATGTGACCTGTTGTGCTTTAGTACACCCTAAATCCAGATCGTGTTTACTTCTTTCCTGCTCTCTGTGCTCACATATACTGCATTTTATTACACCTGAATGAAGCCGTTTTAATTTATGTATTGTTGCTGTCAGACATCAAAACAAGTATGAAAACAGTCCATTTAAACTAAATGTTAACCAGCAGTTACCTCAGAGCCTTTTTCTACGCTGCTACTCTGCACCACTAGTGATTTTATAACCACGTCATCTGACAAACTCACCGCACACAACAGTTAAAAACAACAACAGTGTGCGTAAAATGACCACTTAGAGAGAAGACTAGAAGAGACAGAAAGTCCTGGTCTCACAGACTAATTTGCATCTCTGTCTGATTTTCTGTGCCAACTGTTTTGCTCTGTGCTCACAGGTGTAGAGAGAGTTTTCTTCCTGAAGGGGGCGTGGAAAGCAGCAGCTCAGCTACATTTAAAACTACAGACACTGAACCTGCCCATTGGGACCAGGGTGACAACCAGGGGTTATACAGTCATTTTAATATAAACCATCTGTGCAGTGTTTTGAGCTGAAAAGTTCATTCTGGGACCAGTGAGACTTTGACTACCTTGCACAATATGGAAGTAAGATGGTGTACATGGTCAACATTATAAATATCAGCATTGTCATTGTGACCATGTGGCAGGTTAACATTAGCATTAAGCATAAAGCACTGCTTGCTACTATAGCTTTAGACTTTTGTTGTTGTTTTTTCCAAACTACATGTTAATTTGACCTCTTTGGGCCTCTCTAGATCATTCCAATAAAATTAAGGAAAAAATAAGAAATGTCTTTAGAGCTGACAGACATTCTTAACCACTGACAAGAAAAGATTGTTTAGTTTTGAGGGTTCACGAGTCAAATGCAGAGGGAACTCCTGGGGATTGGTGTTTAATCAGTCCAATATGGTAATACTGAAATCCATATTCCAATAGCCAGACTATGGAACTTTTGCTGAACAGCAGCTTCTGTTTCCACAAATCAAAACCACTAGATGATAATAGATGCTAAAATACAGCATAGTCCAAGAAGAGGAATCATAAAGTCATTACACTGACTCGGTAAGGTCCGCAGGATCTATTTAAAGTTTGCTAACATAAGATACAGGTCATACCAGACCAATTAACGCTGGAGCAACAAAGCTCCTGACTGTCCTGAATTAAGCAATGGTGTGTTTTATTACTTGTGAATTTAATTTGCAGAGGGAAGAATGTGTTCTTCTTCTTGCTTTTAAAAAAAAACGCATCACTTTATAGGAAAAACAAATGCATAATGAGGACCTGGGACTTCAAGAACAACACAGAATTCCTCCAAACGTTTTACAATGTAAAACTAAATCCTCTGAGTTCTTTGACAACGCTCTTGTGCCGTACTGTCTTAATCAGACCCCTGCTACCAACACCGTCCGCCAACCCCCACTTACCGAAAGGGCAAATACCCCCAAGAGGATCATACAGCTCATCATGACAGAGAGGAGCTCATGATGTTGATGTTGCCTCTGTCATTGTGTCCGTACGGATGTTGTGAGAGGACGGCCGCACAAATCCTCCTCGGTGTGGCCGATTCCACGTCGCCTTTCCACGCAGACACCAAGACATAAAATGTAATAAAAAACAAGCTTTCTGTAATGACAAATTCAGACATCTATATATGTAAATGCAATTGCTGGCTGTAGGAAGCAATACACTAAATCCCCGTTAGCAAAAACCAGTGGACATCAGCAACATGATATCTTGTCAGTCAGGTCTAATTCTGTATTCAAACTTAATGGCTCCTGACAAGCATTTCACCAGTCGACAGAGGACCAGAGGGAATGTGCCACAGCGAGCATGACCACTCAGCAAATTCACATTTAGCATTTCATTCCTCCTGCTTGGACAAAATGAATTATTCATCCTTGATTCTCTCACATTGATCCATCCAGACAAAACTCCCTAAAACCCCCAAAACGTTAAATGTTAAATGATTTGTGCATCTGCCTCCTCACTGCTGGGACAGCACACTGCTTTCACTGTATCTCTCTAATTCTGACATTCTCCCTCTATCCTTGACCCCCATTCCTCACTCCCTCTGTTATCTGAAATAATCTCAGGCCCTCCTTAGATTCTATTCATCAGAGCAGAAAGAAGCAGGCGCTGACATTGATATAAAAAAAATACCATCTGTGCCTCGCAGGGGTAAAAGGAGTGAGAGAGACCGAGACAGAAAAGAAAAAGAGGGGCTTCAAATAAAACCGGCTCTGTTGTCTCCCTCTTGTCCCCCCTCGTCAATGCCATTTCAATTGAAAAGCGCAGTGGTAATTAAATTCCAGCAGGGGTTAGGGGCAACTGTGCGGCACGCTGACGGGGGGCTGCCCTGACATAAAGATGACACAATTCAAGAGGACAGAGGGGGCGCCAGGCGGAAAAGGAGGGAGGGTGACAAATGTCGTTTATTCACGTACACTGCCAGATTTGTACTACTCAATCTTCATGACATTCAAAAAATAGAAAATGAAATGGATATTCAAACTCAACCGAATCCCACAATGACCTTTTCCCCAAATCAGGGATATTCTAAACAGATCCGTCTTCTGTATCTGCGGCATTTGCAGAATATTTTGTAATGCTTAGGAGGATGAGCGATTAGGTGGAGAAGAATTTGGAAAAGCTGTTGTGTGTGTGTGCGCGCATGTGTGTGTGTGTGTGTGTGTGTGTCAGCACAAATGTGTGACTCAGAAGGACACTGCTTGTTGTTGATTCACATTATAGTGGCGCTAATCCAGAGGCTCCGTAGAGGCCACACACACTCCTGCTGTCCCCCTTTTCCCCCCGTCCTCTATTAGCAAAACAACACAGCCAGTTAGTCTTTAACTGCAGAAATAAACAGAGCGTAATCCTGCAGCGAGAATAATATTTCGCCAAACTATTACAGAAATTTGAAATACTCTGAGAAAGAAATTGAACTGAAAGAAAACAGAAAAGTCTTTGGTTTTAGCATAATTTTACATTTCAGCCTTTAGAAAGCAATGCAGCGATATAAAGGAGGATGCCAGAACTAAATCTGAAAAGGCATCCGTCTGTGTTGATAATTATAATTCATGAGAGTGAAGCCTCACATGTCAATCATTCTCTGAATACAGTCATTGCATTATTATTTCCGGACTTTTTCTACATCATCATATCCAGTATAATAAATCCTACAGGAAGATCTCTTTCATTCTTGCTGTTGTCCAGCAACATTTAATGTAAAAGTGCCTGCAAAAAGTACTTAAAGGCTGGCGATCATCTAATGCATTAAGACAGACAGGTCCTACTGATTTAAACATTTGGAAGAAAATGCACTTTAATTCTGCCGATGCTTTACTTACACACTGATCAATTTTATGGGTCTCTTAGTGTAAATTCTGTTTCATAAAAAGCGTCTGTGCAACTCTGATGCCATCTAGTGGACAAAGAGCTTAGTACACGAGCTTGTACCTCACAATACATGTAAACTCTGCTCATCCAAAACAAGTTCATTGTTGCTGTTGTCGTTAGTCTCAAAAGTTGAGTTTTCTTCAGTCTGCAAAATATAGAAATTGATACTTGAGGAAGCTCCGTCCAGCCCCACCCTGTGCAACGCTCCTCGGTCCACTCAGCCCGCTTTATTAGTTCACAGCGTTTTTGTCCTCTTGTTCAGTCACAGTTGAGTTTCAATAACGATTTAAAATCTCCAGAATGTCCTCCTTAACGGAGAGGGGAGAGTGCTGCTGGACACCTGGCCCACCGATACTCGTTTCCCAGCAGTCAAAGCCGCAGTCTCGCAAGTCCTGCACTGTACTCTGGACAACCAAGGAGTCAGTTTCTACAAATAAAAAGGTCATAGTGAAGTCATGTCAGAAAAGGATTGGCTAGAAACACAAAACATGTAGTACAGTCAAACAGAACAGCTGCTGGTGAATGCAAAGATTTAAATTCAGTGTCTATAACTAAAAGGGCTACGGTGGTGCTTTCAGGGGTAAACGTTGAGTTTGTGTCACCGACAGCAAAAACACATTAGAGCGACAGAAAAACTCCATCAGCCTCATAGACATAGACAAATAAGGACTTTGTGTGATCTGTGTGATTGTCCTGAACATCTGGTACTTCCCTGCTGTTTGCTGCAAAGGAAATGGTCCAAAACCCAGGAAATGCCCAGCAGCAGCTCAACAGAAAGGACGCAGCTGCACAGTTAAAACTAACCACACGTCCAGTTAAAAGTAGAAACCTTCAGATGCAAGAGCAGCTTTTAAACACATAGATAAAATAACTTAGTGCTTGCTTCCTTAACTCAAAGAGCTTTACTATAAAGACTCTCTGAGAGCATTAGAGTTGACAGATATAAGACAATCTACTTGGCAGTTGCTGAGACTCACAGACAGAAACGCTTGCTAAGAAAACAAATAAAGAGCATTTGGAAATCTATTTGAAGGATTTAAAACTTATTAAAATTCAGTACGCTACAGGCTGCAGGCATAAACAAAGTCTGAACTTGCAGGTTCTTCGCTTGTTTGCTTTGTCAAAGAGAGGATGATACAAAGTTTCCTTAGAACCAATTGTGCGGTAGTACTCGCACACCAAAGGCCCCTTCTTGTGCAGCCTTCTCATCATTTCCTGCCAATCAAGTCGTTGTTGGAGAGACTTAGAGTGAGTGAGCGTTTGAGGAAAACAGAACATTTGCTGTCAGCAGGATTCTGACAGCTCGGCTCATCAAACTTCCCTCATCATATTGAATTCAGTATTAGACAAATCAATTAAAGGATGCACCAGAGGCGCAAATCAAATGAGGGATTCATTTGAATTATATGCATCATCTAACCTGGAGGGGTAATTACAGCAGCACATAAAGTATTGCCCTTTTAAAGTTGCGTTAATGCAAACATTTTAAATGCACGCTGTTGTAGCAATCATAACACAATTGACCTACAGTACCTGGTCTCAGGAGCGTGATGCCGCAGCCTCCTCCTCCTGCACCCGTTAGCTTGCTGTGGAGCCCTTTGGCCAACGTGACCCGGCACAGTATGTCCAGGGCAGGGTGGCCCACACCCATCACATTCAGATGGTGCTGGTTGATGTCAATGAGCTCCTGTAAAATATACGACACGGCTGTACTTAAAAACTTAAATGGCAATTTATACTGGCTCTCTGGTTTAAGATATTTGATGCATTAAAACTATAGTTGTACCTCTAACGCCTTACTGGCATGTTTACAGAGCAAAACGCGTCACAGTCTTCTAATAATTTGTACCTCTAGAATATTGTAGTGCTCTCCTGTGATGGGCTCACAGGTCATCTCTGAGAGGACTTTCTCACAAGTGCAGGAGATGGCATCAACAGAGTCAAGCACAGGGGTCATGATGGAGGGAAACTGCACGAGGGGAAAACAAGAATTTCTAACATGACTTGTGGACAAGTATCCGTGTAACACCGCAAATACCTGTGAGTATTTTCTACAAGACCTGGTGTTTCTTTTTTTTTTTTTTTGATGGATCCACTGTATACAAATACAGATTGTGAAATGGTAGGTTTGACTTTGGTTATGCTCCAGCCTGATCACAACACTGCCACAACACCATCCAGGCCCATCTCTGTCTGAGGCAGAAATCTGCACACCTGCTGGTGTCACCAAGGCAACAGCACACAGGGGTGCTGGCTAAGAGTTTAATTTTAATATTTTATGAAGGCACTCAACGCCATGCTCTGGAGTATCTGCCATGCAAAAGCACCGCCTATTATATTAATTACAGTGTCGGCAAGTAACACACCGGGGAGAAGAAACCATTTAGTACCTTGTTAATTTTGTCCTTCACCCTGGCAACAAGTACCTTGGTGCTACGTGGTACTTTGGTGTTAGTGAGGAGGATTCTTAATAATGGCACCCTGGAAGTAAAGCAGAGAGATCAGAGAGTTCACACAGGCATATTATTCTGGAGCTCCTCTGATGTATTAATTTTAGTCAGACAATATTTGTTTTAAGAAGAAGGAAAAAAAAAAGCTGTGATTTTATTAATTGACTTTTTAAATGAAGTCAAATTAAAAATTGTTAATTAGCTTTGGTACCTGCTCAGTGGTATTATCTTTCCAGCTAAGAATCTCAGCATGCCACCTACATGAAGGGAAACCAAAATTATTAAATAGATAACCATCAGATAATAATGAACAGTGGTGGTGAAATACTCTGATGTTTCCATTAAGGAGCGTTGTGTGTAAAGGGAGTGAGTTTAAGACCATTTCACGTCTCACCCCAGGTTCCTACAGCGTTGTCCACTCCTGAAGGATTGCCGTGGATGATCATCTCCCCTTGGAAAGCCCAGCTGTTGATCAGCTCCAGGTCCTCCTGACACCACCTGCAGACGTTAAAAAATGAAAGGAAGAAGCCCAACAAACCCTCCCTGACCAGCCATGTCCTGTCCTGTACTACCTCACATACATATGGAGTATCGCAGCATTAAAAAGAGTTGTATGTTCACTAATTTATTACAGAGCTGCTGTTTGTGATTATGCAATCTGACTCTAAGTATTTGTAGTACAATATATTACAAGAGTATCATACTGACAGTACATCCAAACATTAATTTCTGTCTTTGATTTTACAAAAGGACACATTTTTCTGGGAAAAATGTGTCAGATATTTGTATTTCTATAAAAGCCCTCTGTCACTACTAAATATCTGGAATAGAAAATATTATGGGAATGTTAAATGTTAGAATTAGAAGAAGAATTGAAAGAGTTGGCACATTCTTTAAAAAAAAAAAATCATCATAAGATTAGTATTTGGAGTATGTGAGGCAACTACTGTGATTTGCAATATAGAGTTAATGCACACTTATGTATCTGTTTTTCTATTTGCCAAATAAATGTTGAGATTTTAGGTCTTTTACCTTCAAAACATCAACCTTCGCCTGAAACAGTTTGCACTGTTTGAAACCATGATTTAATATGCTTCTTAGTGTTTAGTTAAGTGTCCTGTTTGGAGTGCTATTATCAAGCTTCATAATTCTATCGCTGCAAAACAGCGGTTGACACCAACATCATACACAGCTCATGATGAGGACTTTTCCGTAGCATAATGTCATTACCTGGCAGTGTGATCCCATTCTTTGAGAGGAGCAGGAATGGCTCCACTTGCGCAGAGCAGAGCTGCAGCTAAACACACAGAGTAGGCGGCGCTTGATCCCAGTCCTGCTCCAGTCGGCAGCTCGGACCACACAGTCAGCGTCAAGCTGGGCAGCTCGCTAAGAAAAGAATCACTGTAAGAATTTACAAATGCAGCCCCAAAATGAGAAAAAGCACACAACTATTGAGAAATACTCCCTATTAATTAAAAACAATAGTAGTTTCTCATTTAAAGTCAGCAACAGTGCACTTTCAAAACAAAATACTGGATAAATCAAGTCAATAATGTGTTATTTCTCTTTCTTTATAATCACATTTACTAGCACAGCTACAGCATATGCATAGTTAGTGTAATGTATAGGAATACATACACTACTATATGCAACAGAAACTTACTCGACAGTTCTGTCAATGTCTGTCAGGGAAGCTGCTTTTGGGCAGAAAGAAGAATACTCTAAACTAATTGTCCGGCTCTTCTCTCGAGGGAAAAACACATCCAGACTTGTTAAAGGGTGCAGAGTGGCCCAGTGCCAGACTCTCATTAGTGGCCATCCTGTCAGAACCCATCACCTCTCTCAGACACGCCAGCACCGTGTCAGCACAGATTAAACCTCCTGACAACCTGCAGCTCTAATGTTCCCGAGCATCTTCCCTGTTCACAGCAGCTGGAGCCGCTAAAACTAACATCCAACCTTTCTGTCTCTCTTTACCGCCTTCATTTCCAAGAAGACAAATTTATCATTTTTTTGCCTTTTACCAATCTGCATCAGTTTTTACTAAACAAACATTAACCTAAGAGCTAGACAGAGGAAAGAGCTGAACACTGCACGGTAGCAGTAAAGCACCAGTTTAATACACCCTCAGATGGTGACAAGTACTTGTCACTTTCTGCTAGTGTCAATTACATTTACCGCATTTAGTTCACACAACAGCTGAACAATACACTATATCATATCATTTCTATCTAATTTATGGCATTGAGATGTGAGCACATGGAGTGTTCACTGTGAAAAGGATAAAATGTAACAAGAAGTAACCCCGCTATGATACACTACAGTACACTAAACAGTACACCGTGCGACATGTGATAAATCAGCCTGATTTCATTTCATTTAAATTGGGTTGTTGCTCACACACAAACCCACAAATTTGGGTCTAACAGGCTGCAGAATTCCCACAAGGTCGAGGAAAATTGTCATTCAACAACTATACACTTTGCCTGCATCACCTACATGCACAAAATGTCACAGCTGCTACCATTTTAAGTTGCACCACCTCTGGGCAATGAGTGTAGTGTGTGTTTTTTTTTTGGCTTTATAGCTTTAGTCTTTAAGCGTGCACCTTTGAAGTAATACATTTAAAATTCCTCCCCCATCATTGATTAAACTCCTTCTGTGGCAGCAAAGTTACACATCTAGATGTTTTTTTTCATGAAGCCAACCTCTTCATGTCTTAGATTTGGCAAAATGTTAAATTTTTTTCTCCCTGGGATTTAACTATCTCTCTCAAATTTGGTGAAGACGCCTCTTCCCTCTGCTCCTAAAAGCACACAGAAGGACACTCTTGGAACACAGAGAACTAATGATAGAATGAGCAGAGTGCACGCTTTCCGATATTCAGCGTAGAATGTTTAATCTGACAAAAAGGTAACATTTTACACTTGCACTCTCTCAAACGCACACAATCAGTAGCTGTTAAAAATGAGATACAGCAGCAACACTCAACGCCTGCGGGTGGTGAAGGTGTCAGATTTGCAGACACTGTTTGTTTGTTTCCGTTGCCTGTCGATGGAGAACGTCAATACGTATACATCTACATTTCTAAAGCGCTTTGCTTCAGGATGACATTTAACGGGCCCGGCTTCTTTACTTTTTGTAAATCTGTGCTGTGTTTTTTGTGGTCATCTGCGTGATACATAAAATGAGCAAATGATGAGAACACACTTGTGCTATCTCACCTTGATCCAAACAGTGAGAAGTAGAGGTAAAGGAAGGATAAGGTGGCCATGCTGCAAGTATCCAGGTTTCCATTGTTTACACCGACGAACTCACGAAGTCTCCTCACGAGTTCAGCATCCAGACGTTGCACCTCGTCCCGCTTACCTATTAGCGCGAGTAAAAACACAAATCACAACGATGCACGCTTTGATCTTTAGTCGTACAAAACTGATGCATATACAAAAGTGTACTTAATTAAAAATTCTTCAAAAAGGTGACGATTATTTCATATGCTTATCTGGTCAAAGTTTGAGTTAGTAGTTTTTCTAACAGATTATATTTAATAATCTCCATGGACAACATACAGTTGTGACTCGATAATCCGACACTACATGTAAAACCTTCTTTTATGTCGGATAGAAAGGCTGTCGGATTGTCAACACGGAGGTCGAGATACAAGGAGGGCTTGATGCTTGAAAGGTGATTTGTTGTTAATATTTATTGTTTATAGTTGTTATAATAACCAGTGTATTGTTAGAACATTACGCATCGCTGGATTTAACACCTAATTGACCAGTGTGATCGTGCACGTTCCGGCCAATTCCACCACGTCGGAGCGTACCCCTGGGGTGGAAGTGGCCAGAACACACAGACAGTATTTGGCTGCTGATGCTGATGGTGGCGGCGGCGACGGTGACGGCGGCTGGGGAGTGGGGGGCAAGATACGCTCCATCGTTACCATCTGCGTTTACTTCCGCAAACACTGAACACACTCGCTATGTGTGACGTCGTTGTGTCCTCTTCTGCGCATGCGGGACACTTTTGGGTCGTATGAAGTTCACACAAAATATCACATACAAGTCGAATTTAATTGAAATGTGAACAAACATTGGATTTCACAAAAAAAATCCGAATTGAGCATTAAGTCCTGCAGTCTGAATGTAGCCGATCTGTCGGATTGTTAAGTCAGATAATACACCATTATACTTAGTTGTGATGTAAAATGTCATGTCGGTGTTGGAATCCAAGGCTGTCGGTATGTTAAGGCTATTTTTAATGGGTTCCGTTCGTTTTTCCTAAAAACCTGTCGGATAGCAAAGTTTTAGCTGCAATAGAACTCAAATGTGCTTTGTTTTAAAAGGAGTGTTTCCTCATATCTTAACTCACTCTGCCTGGTGTTTGCGTTACATCTTCCAATGATGCTAAACAATGTGGGAAATGAAGTGCACTATTTAACATTTCTCTCAAAAACTCTCTCAACACTGAAATGTCACTGTATGCATGTTATTGGACTGTATGAACATGATACAGATGCAAGAGCAAAAACATAGTGTTCGTATGAGCTTATGGTAACCAGTGCTGCGTCTTCTCTTACCGTGGAAATTATGGATGAGCCGCCTGAGTTCAGACAGGTCCCAGCAGTGGAATGTGTCAATGTTTGGGAGGTTGATGCAAACTTTGCCAGTGGTGGTGACTTGCAGTCGCAAATATGTTCTCAGGTTCAAACTTACAGCAAGAGCCACCTGTGATGAAGCAACATCAGAACAGGCAAAAGATCAATAAAGGATGACATTTTTTTCACCATTTTAACAGCAGCTCATCAAGGTGTTACAACACTACCAGCTCTTTTCTGATGCATTCAATGGTTTTGTAATAACTGGGTACATTTTCCTAATTCCAAATTTCCAAATTGATTTGGTGTCAACTATTAAACTATTCACCAGGCACTTTGATAATTAAATAATCTGTCTCAGTAATTAACAGAATTCTGCACACCGTCTACCCTGTAAAAATACATTTATTTATGACGCTTCAGGTCCTAATCAGGTAAATAGTTTGTAACAAAGAGAGGTCATAATAAACAGGGAGTGGCTGTAACTCTGCAACAATGCACGGACAATAAGAAGACATGAACATCATTATACTGAACGAAAAATTTCAAAAACAAACAGAATATTACAAAACACACTGTCCAAGAACAATCATAAATGTACTCCCAACGTGTTCACATTAAATGGGTAAAATATGATGATCTCCAAAATCTTTCAGAGGCCATATGTAGATGAACCTGCAGGGATACATGTACATGGGATATGCCAAAAAATATACTGATTAATAAATTGGCAGCAAGAAAACAGGAGCATAAAGTCAATGTTCTCTGATTGAAGGCTTCTCTCTGGTTTCTTTGCTCCTTTATGATAATAAACTGAAATTCTTTGGGTAATTAACAAAAGAAGACATTTTAGGACGTCATCTTGGGCTTCTGTAAAGTCTGTTCAATATTTTTCTCCATTTTAGAGACTAAACACGTAATCAATTATTGAACAAAAATATTTAGCAGATTAATCAATAATAATAAAAAAAAAAAATTAGTGCAACATAGAGCCACTGGAACAAATGATGAGACGTGTCAGGCTTTCAGAGGCTGGCAAGCTGCAATCAAAAATATGCACTGGCAAGAAACAAAAAAAAACTGTGAAACTTAAATAGTAAAGTTTTGTGTGATAAACTAAGCCTGTCCTGCAAAAGCCCAACATCCAGCCTCATATCATTATTTCAGCTGAGACACTGACCCGAGCACCAAAGGTCACCAATAAATAAAACAGTCATTATAATCACTGAGCTGTCACTCATCCTCACAGGTTACCTTTCCGTGAACAACTGCATGCTCTCCGTGGAGGATGGCCTTCCCAGGAGCAGACACGAACACGTCCTCGACTTGCATTTCTGTTAGTTTCCAGAGTCTGTAATGTGTCCAAAGCTGAACCGCTGGATGACCTCAAGTTCAACTTTCCACTGACAGTATTACTGTTAGCTAGCTTAGCTAATGTTAATCCGCTGAACCAGCAACCAGCAGTCGACAGCTCTGCCCCGCAGCTCTGTGACTTTCACCAACGAAGGATGAATATCTGGGTTTAGCGACGCATTTTGACAATCAAAGAACACAGAGACAACCAGAGCACAGACTCTCTTTGACGCGGCGTGGTTATCCAGAGTTAAAAACACAGCTGACACTGGACAAGAGACGCACATACGTTTGACGTTCTGCATCCAATCAGCATCGCAGCTGGTTGATCATGTTTTCCTCTGACCAATCAGCGTCCAGAACACTGCCACCACCAGGTGAGTTGACCAATCATACGATGAAAACGAAACGCCCATTAACTACGGACTCCTCGGAGGGACAAAATACACTACGAACCGCCGTTCACCTTTAGCTGCTAACCAGTAGCTTAAAATGACATCGTTTGTTATCAAACCTGCTCTTCTCCGCTGCGTTGTTCGGACAGGCAGGTTCATAAGCGAGCATCGGACGAAGAAACCTTTGTGTTCACACAGAAGGTAGTTGTACATTCCTGTTGTGTGCAAGTAGGTGTTTAGCTAATGTTGCTGTTATGCAAGTAGCTGACTATAAACTGCTGCCTGGTAGCTGCTACACAGGTAGATACTCTCTAATAAAGCCAGTTTTAACACAGCAGACAGCAATGTTTGAACATGAAAGTTCAGACTCAGCACAAGCATCAAGAAATATTAATTTTGTAGTCATCTAGATCTTCTAAACATCTCTCTTCTTTTCCGCTTTCTGTGTTTTCCCCCCAACAGTTATGCCACTCATGGGGATGACAAGGTACCCAAAATATACACCAAAACTGGAGACAAAGGTTATTGATCATCATAACTCACAAACTGATATGTCACAGCTTTGTTATAGTAACAGTATTAACAAAAGTTGACTCTTGCTGTGCAGGTTTCTCAAGCACATTTACAGGAGAAAGGAGGCCAAAGGAGGATCATGTTTTTGAAGCCTTAGGAAATACAGATGAGCTGTCATCAGCTATAGGGTACATTTTCTACAGTTCCAACATTGCAGTTCACTTCATAACTTTGTCTGTAATCTGCCCCTGAAGTTATCATTTCGACTCCCATTACAGGTTGGCCAGAGAATTTTGTCTCGACAAAGGTCACACGTTCACATATCAGCTGGACAAGGTTTGCTTTTCCATGGCTGCATTTATTAACTTCCTCCAACAGTTCGCATTCACCAAAGTACATTATTCTGACAGTTTTGCTTCTGACATTGCAGATACAGTGCATTTTACAAGATGTGGGCTCCAATATTGCCACCCCTCAATCTTCTGCAAGAGAAAGTCATATAAGTATGCATATGCTGGCTAGTCTAATGCACTAAAGTTGGTGGTTTTATCATGTTTTCTGTACTCAAAGATCATACCGGGGTCTTCTGTTTTTGCTAGAGAGGACAAAATTTACCGCGCAGCCAATTGCAGACTTGGAGACCTGGATTGATACCTTTACAGGAGAACTTCCTCCACTGACGAACTTCATTTTACCAGTAAGTCCATTTGTGCTTCTGTGTACATGTTATTCCTGTTAGAGCCCAGGTTTTCACACATGCATTATGTTTCACAGTCTGGTGGAAAGAGCAGCGCAGCTTTGCACTTGGCTCGGACAGTCTGTCGGAGAGCAGAACGTAGGTCAGTTCCAGCACGTTTCATGATCGTAGTATTACCTTAAATGACTTAACATAGTCAACTTCTCTTGTTTCACTTGCACAATTGGTCCTGACAGCTCTTTGTTGTTGTTTTAGTGTTGCCCCAATTGTGCGCTCAGGGGAGGCAGATCCAGATGTTGCCAAGTTCTTGAACAGGTCAGTCCCGTGTTTAAAAATTTACGAGAACACGGCTCTTCCACCACACATCTGATAACTGTTCCAACATTTTCACTCAGACTGAGCGACTACCTGTTCACCGTAGCCAGATATGCAGCCATGAAAGAAGGCAGCGAGGAGAAGATCTACAAAAGACCTGAATGACCACATCCACACGAGTATTGAGACAAAAAAAAACTTGATTTGTTGTTTTTTTATGCAGATACTTTAGTCATATTGTAAATACATTATTACATAGGAATGAGGTCCACATTTGTCTCAGTTCAATCATCATGGGTTATAATAAACTTATGCACATCAAAAAAGTGTCCTGTTATTTAATGTTGCACAGGTAATGTTTCCATCATGTACATTCAGCTAAGTTGAGTTAGGATGTGAAACTTTAAATACTTGAGAGAACCTTTCATCGGTTCTACAGTTGCCACACATTGACTTTAACCAAATACTATGGATAGTCTCTGGTAGATGCAGTGGTACCCCAGAGGCTTTTGCTCTTATTTGTTTCAGTACAGTAACAACACACTTGGGTGTCAGCCCTGCTCATGACTTAGGGGGCAGTTGGTTTTATTCCAGCATGGCTTTGTCCCACATGGCCTCCAACACAGTCACAGGATCTGGCACCAGCCCTGGCTCTTCTGGGACAAGGTACTGGCCCATGTCATTAGGGACAGATTGCGGTCCTCGTAGGGCGGATAACGCAGGTAGGTGACACACTCGAACCGTGTGCCTCTTAGCAGGCATGATTTCCTGTGAGAGAAGGTATCAAAGCTGTAGCGGCCGTGGAAGGAACCCATTCCAGTGGCACCTGACAACAATCAGAATCAGAATCAGTTTTATTGCCAAGTAATTTTTACATCACCAGGAATTTGACTTGGTCCATTGGTGCAAAGAAGCAGAAAACAGATACCAAAATAAAATAAAATATTAACAACAACAACAACAACAAAAAAAATTTGCAAAGGTACATCAATGCAGGCTATATTGTCCCACCAGCATGCACTGTGATGCCTCACACTTACCTACACCACCAAAAGGCAGAGCCACCGTCAGACTCTGAAGGATGCAGTCATTGGAGCAAAAGCTTCCACTGGAGGTCTCGCTCATTAGTCTTGATATGACCTGCATTGTCAGAAAAAGGTGATCAGAATAAACGTTGGCTGCCTCATGCACAGCAATGGATACAGTGTCTGCCGTGTACCTTACTGTTGCTGGAATACGCATACACACAAAGAGGTTTCTCTTGTTTACTAATGAAGGCAATTGCTTCATCCACATCGTTTACAGTCAGAAGAGGAAGAACTGGGCCAAAAATCTCCTGTTGCATGATGGGGTCTGATTCTGACACCTCTGTCAAAACTGTTGGGGCTTCAGAGAGAACAAAAAAACAACATTTAGAGTCGCAGGATTAGATATTTTACATGAATTAGTGGACATTATTCTGAGAAATCCAATGTAGAATGTTCTTACCAATATACTTCTCTGCTTCTATCACCTGCCCACCCACAGCCACCTTGCCAGATCTCCACAATGTGTCTCTTAATCGGTTGAAAATCTCCAGATTGACCATGCGGCCAAAGCTGCGGGACTCTTGGGGATCGGAACCATAGAACTGCATCACACAGCACTTTAGGGCTTGTACCAGCCGTGCTTTCACATCCGCGTGGCACAAAATGTAGTCAGGAGCCACTAAGCTCTGTCCGGCATTCTGGAAACGCGCCCAAGCGATGCGCTGCGCGGTGGTGGCAATGTCACAGTGTTGGTCCACATAACACGGGTTCTTGCCTCCTAAAATCAGGGTGACTGGTGTGAGGGTGCGGGCTGCAGCCTGAGCAATTCTGCTTCCCTCCTCTCTGTTTCCTAAGGAGTGACAATCATGTTTAATGCATTATGAATAATTCTATTGACACTCAAAAAGCTGATTTTGAAGGTGATTGTCTGTTTACCTGTAAAGAAAACGTGATCAAATTTGAGTTCCACAACTTCAGGCAAGTCATTCGTGCCTAAAAGAATCACATGGAAGCATTCCTTGAGGAAAACAAGAGCTGTATCAGATCATTCCTTTGTACTGGAGCATCATCTTCCTTATACGTCACCGTCAATCAAAGTGTACATTGAAAGACAGGAGAATTATAACCGGGTCAACTATTCAGCTCTTTCTGGGATGACATGCTCAATCACACATGTGACAATACCAGATCTGAATGTCAGAACAAAATCTAATTTCAACAAACAATGACTCATTTGATCCTTTTTGAACAAATGCCCTCATTTTAAAAAGAATTAAAATATATCACATACCAAATTGTATATACTTCACTAGATTCATACAGAATGAGTCATTAATCCATTCTGCTGGGGGCTAAAATTGTGGAGGGCATTTGCCTTCTGGCTGCAGCAGGCAAAATTATACATTTTTCTAACTACCTGAAATGAGTGGAATGAAAATCCAGTCAGACAAAGTTATTCACCTGCCTTTCAATTTTTGGGCAAAAAACCCCACAAAAGTCACTCTTTGAGAAAACTACGCTAACTTGTTAAGTAAAAGACATTCAACAGAGAAATCAGTGCCCCATGACAGCTAACTCACATTGTCCAGGTAGAAGGGAGTGAGACGATGGAGCAGCTCTGCTGTGTGAGCAGCGCACTCTGAGGGCCCAATGATGGCACAGTTTCCTACACAAACGAACAAAACCTCATCAGTGGCGGTCAGATCCCCAGTAAGCCTGTGTGTGGGACAGCTAAATGAATAAATGAATGTTTGCTGCACCTGCTGCGATGGCCCCAACCAGCGGCACCAGACACATTTGAACAGGACTACACCAGGTCCCCACAATAAACACAACCCCCAGCGGCTCACTGATCACCACACACTCATCCAATGAGGTGGACTGCACAAAGGAGACAACCCTGGAATTAGGTTACAAGTGAAACAAAACACTCACACATGAAGTTCATCAGGATGCAGGGTGACTAAGAGAGGAAAGGACATAAGCCCACTTTATTGTTACAAAAGGGCAAGGCAACTTAGCTTTAATCTGCTTTAGTGGGCTCAGCACAATGCATTTCTTTGTGGCACCGAGACGGAATGTTCTCTCCAAAAAGGTTACGCAAGTCATTAATAATCCAAATGACATTATAAAGAAGTTTTCCTGATAAAAGAGGCATTAAATAACACTAATCTCACCAGATTTCTTTCCACATGCTGTGGCTGCATCCACTTCTTTAAGTTGTTGATGGCATGAAGAGCCTCATTCTTGACCAGAATCAGCTCAGAGACAACAGTTTCAAAGCGTGGCTGGTTGTAAAGATTCAGAGTGTAAACAAATATACAAAGGGGGAAAATAAGTATTTGGACCATTATGACATGTCTCACTGTCTGAAAGATGCAGTAAACATAAACATTGTAGGAGACAAACGTCACCTTATGAAGGTCCCTCCCGAGAGCATCCACAAAGTCACACTCGTGCTCCTCCAGCATTCGCAGCACAGCCTCCAGCTGAGTCATTCTGAAGTTCTCCTTCAGGGTGCGTCCAGCTTGAAAGGCAACTCTGGCCCTCCTCAGCAGTTCCACACACTCCAGACCGTATGTCTTCAAACATGGCTCCCCCAGCCTGGTCCTAGAACAGCGGACTAGTTTTAACACCATAAGGCTGATCAACACATTTCCTCTCCAGATCTCATCACTCTACCTTCTGCATGTTAACCGTCCATTCCTCTGACAAGCATAGCACGCCCTCATTTTCCCACTCATATTGATTCCAGCCAACAGCTCCCCAGTGCTCCTGAACTTGTGCAGTTAAGCCTATGCACCTGCTCAGTAAAAGCCCCACCGGCAGGAAGGACAGTGGAAATAACTCTTAACCAGTCATGTGATGCACAGAAAACTTAACAAAGCCGGAGTTAACTCAGCAGCTCATGAGGTGAAATCGACTTCTCACACACATGGAGAAACATGTTGCATGAACTGAATCTGTTATTTACCTGCGCAGAGCCTGGAACCATCGGGCTGGAGAAGGACTCGGCGGACCGTTCATGGCTATCCTGCAGGTTCGGCTGAGACAGTCGCAGTCGCTGCTGTGGAAATCCTCCCAACAGCTCTGGTCACACAGCGCAGGAAGTGAGCACAATGAAGAATCGGACTCAGACGTGCGTATTTACACCATAATCTGCACGTTATTCCCAAACACCAGAGAAATGTGAGTTACAAGACAACACTTCAACCCCACAGCTTCTTGTTGATACAGCCTGTCACAGAGCAGCAGTGAGCTTCAGTCCCCCATGTGAGGCTCCACTGTGATGTTTCAGACTCAGCAGGTGTTTGTAATCACCCAGTTAGTAATTCATGAGTTAAAAAAAAAAACACCAATTGTGTACAAACGATTTAAAGTAAATGATTTATATAATACTTGTGTACATGATTTAACATTACAGGAAAAAGTATTTTACACATGGACAAATCTTACATGGGAATCTCCTTTTTGTTCTGTTTTTTATCTTTTTTTTTTACAATAACACTCCGTACTGTAGCTTGTGCAGCCACTTTCAAAGACACTTTTTAAAAAGAGATGAAAATTTTCACAGGAAGTTTGGGAACATTTCAAGGATCTCTTCTTGTTTTTTTTGTTTTTTTTATTATTATTATTCTTATTATTTTTGTACTAAAAGAGTTGGATATTCAAAGTCAGCATCAGCAGTCCACTGGTACAGTTAAAGTCTAAGCCTATTCTTGACATCATTTAAAACAGAGGAGCGACCTCATCGAAGGAGACAGACGAGCATGTGAGGTATCATTCATCTCTCTCGCACGCTGGCTCGCACTAGTGTTGTTAAGTAAATCGCAGTGTTTTCAATTCTTGCTTGGATGTACTAAAAGGAGGAGAGCTTAAGTAAGAGCCTCCTGACTGATTTGTCGCATTTGAACATTGTCTAATCTCATTAGTAGACTGGAGGTAAATTCAATACAACCAGTGTTATTTATATATACGTGTAGTTATAGTTGCATTTAATTGTAAATTACTTTTTTTTTTCCCCACAAGTTAGTGGCCAGGATATAACTAGTTAGAAACATGGTTAACAGAAGTATCCATACTCATTCATGACAGAACACTTTTTTTTTTTTTGCATAATAAAGAAAGATTTGATATTTTTGTTGAACCCTTTTGTTTAAAAGTTGCACTCCTCTTTCTCATAAATGCCCCAAAAGTCTCTTCCTTAACGTTCTGCTGTAAATGAACCCTGTGTGAAATTTTTAGGCTTTTAAGGTAACATTCACCCTCACATCCCCTCCCCTCCCCCCCCAAACAGCCACAAACAGCAAAAGTGTGTGCAATATTTCCGAGGGAACATCATCAAGTCAAGCAGTCACATTTGGTTGATAAACCAGTCCATGACATCATGTTAAAGAGGTTTTTTTTTTTTTTAAACCTCAATTTCTTTTCTGCATGGCTTAAAAAGTCCACAGAGATCAGAGAGCATCGTAGTAAAACCCTCATTGGTTGTAGTTGTGGTAGTACAGTGGTTGGGTTTCTGCTGTCTTGTTAGCGGGAGCAGAGAATAAGTCCAGGTCCATAGCCCCCGTTTCTATGGCTTGTTTCCGATATACAGTATGCAGTTATTGGTTACGGTTGAAATATAGTCGGACATGTGACGGCAAGGGGTGATGGCAATACATGAGGCACTCAGCGTTATTCAAAAGGTGTAGTGAGTAAGGTTTTCTAGTATTAGGTACATAGACTAACATGACTCGATAACTTCACTCTTCATGTTTTGAACGTGGACGTCAAGCACAGATGTGTGACATGGAACTCTTGCGTCTGCTCGGCTCGGCAGATGCAAATGGTGACAAAACGTTTCCAGTTCTTTTTCTCAAAAGCAACTGATGCTACAGCAAGGACATCTTTTTTCTTTTTTTTTTTCAAACAACAGCATCATCAGATTTTCAAGAAATTTGTCGCTGCTTCACTGGAACTGAGGCAGATGTTAGGCTTTTAAATTTGGGGAGAATACAAAAAGCAGAGGGCCAGCGTCTCTCTTTTTCCGTGTCTTTCAGTGGGGAGAAAACAGAGAGAGGTCAAAATGATTTTCCTCAAAATGGAACATAATGTATTCAACACAGAATCACTGTTATGGGGCAGCCCTCCTTCATCAGGGTTTGAACACAAGACATTGATTTGTCTTCCACTTATAAAAGATGCATTATATTCAGCAAAACATTTTAAGACTCATCCAATATCGGCGAAAGTTGCCTGGATAATGGAATCCAAGCTTGTAAGGATATTAACAATGCATCACTTGGTTTTTCCTCGGGTCAGTCGACCATGTGTCTAATGGCTTGCATTGCATCTGTATTGCTTTCCAGTTCACTTAAAATGGGAGTGTTAAATCCAACAACGATTCTGTTAAGCCTGAGAAACAGGGATCTAGCCACTGTATATCTGTATTTCATAAAGTTAAACACATGATATATTCAATTTTTGGAGTGGCAGAGGGAAATGGTAAAAATTGGATTGTGCTGCAGAAACAGCATCCCCCTTTGACTGGAGAGAGAGAACTAAAGTAGAGCTCACTCCTTCAGAGCTCATCCAGTTTTGAAAAGAGACAAAAGGAGACTTGATAGATCCTTCATGAATCCCCTTTTTGTTTAGGTGATGCCCCTTTGATGTGACAGGCTCTAGTCCAGGTAAGCCGAGCCTCTTGCTTGGTTCAGGCTGTTTAACACACCCCTCCTGTGCAGATTGTCCCGATGCAAATGAGTTAGGAGAGCTCGAAGCCTGTGTTCATACTGATAGCGTAGCGCAGCTTGTCGCGCAGGATGCTTTTCTTGCTGTAGTTGGGCAGCTTGAGCAGGTTGAAGCACGTGGATGAAGTAGGAAGTCGACCGCCAGGCTCCTTCTTCCGGATCGTGAAAAAACCTCTGAGAACACTGCCAAGGGTGTCTCCAGTGTCCTGGACACAACAAACAAGATGTCAAATGTAGTACAGTTTATCAGGGCGCACATAAACGAGGTGTGTCAGAAAAGTTCCAGGACTGGCGTCACTAAAGGTGTATTTCAAATCCAAACTACAAGTTTTCCCCTTCAGACCATCAACCAGCACGTCTACAAAGAGATCCTGCAGCGTTTGCTTCGTTCAGTGTGAGAGAAGAGGTGAGAGTTGTGGCAGGACAAGTGGTGGCTGCTTCACCATGACAACGTGCCTGCTCACAATGCCCTGAGCATCCGACAGTTCCTGGCTGAGAAGAACATCACCGTGCTGGAGCAACCTCCCCACTCCTGGCTCCGTGGGATTTTTTCCTCTTCCCCAAGATCAAGGGGGTCATCAAGGGGACCCGTTTTGATGACGTGGATGACATCAAGATGGCTGTGACGACGGAGCTGAGGAGGATCCCGGAAGAATCCTTCCAGGAGTGCATGGTGGCGTGGCAGAGAAGGCTGGGAAAGTGCATTAAACTCATACATTGTATAAGACTTTTATACAGTCTATGGTTAGACTCCAGGGGGGATTACTTGGAAGGGGAGAACTTGTAGTTTGTAGTTTGGATTTTAAATATATCTTTTGTGACACCAGTCCTGAAATCTTTCTGACACACCTCATATATAGTTAACTCAGTGCAACAAACACTACATGTGAGCGAAAGCTTATTTGTTCTTACTTGATCATCTGAAACTTCCACACAGCGGATGGAGAACGGTGGTTTGAGGTAGGCAAAACCTAGAAGAGGCGGCCTTGAGCAGCTGGTAACAAACTGTAAAAACACATTTCAAAGACAATAATAGTTAAACCATCTTGTGGTAGCAATAAAGAAGTATTTGGCTGGAGCTAACAAAAGCCAACGCACTTTAAGGAACATAGCCCTCTCTTCAGCGTTGAAATCACTGGACAGGATGTCCCACAGCCAGATGATGACACGATGGCTGCTGTGAAAACCTCCGTAGTAGACTGTGTGTTTCCTGAGAGAGAGAGAGAGGTAAACAGCAATGATGAGCAAATTAAACTGCCCACACACACAGTAAGCACAGGAAGTAAACAAGGGCTTCAGTAAATTACTGTAGTTAAGGAAACATGCTGCAGTACTTTTGTTATCAGTTTAAATGTTGTGGTGCTAAACCAGTTAGTCATTCTGCTCATAAAACTGTATGAGACTAGATAAATGAAATGACATCATCCAGTTTGGCAGCACAACAACAACAGAGGACAAAGGTTACATACTTGAGGTCATCCAGATCAATCTCAGCATTATCTCCTGACACAAGACGCTGAACTTCAGGTGTGGAAAACATGTGCAGCCACTCTGGGTTAATGATGCTGCGGAAGCCCCGAATGAAAGCAGCAGTTTGTTCCTTAATCTGCGTGTGCATCCGGAAGTGAGCCATGAGGTGGATGTAGCTGATCCTGCAGGAGATGACAAAGATAAGGTCAGAGAGGGAAGATGTTTTCTTATGGGTACACAACAGTAAGCAAAAGAACATTTCAAACGTAAAATGTGTCAGTATACTTTAATTTCTTTCGTTGAATATGAATTTACATACTTGTTTTCATTGGTGACGGGCATGGTTTTCCCCCCAGGTATCAACTCATGACAGACAAGCTGTAATGGAATAAAACCAGTGATTATTATATATACTTAACTAAATTATAATATCTTCAATGTTTACCAACCTTACCTGTCCCATAACATCCTCATCATAGGATAACGTGAGTCCAAGGTCCCCTACATCTCCATCATAGCGCTAAAAAGAATAAAAAATTAATATTGAAATGTCACCTAAGTTCGAAAAATAGGACAAAACGTGATAAGTGACAATCCAAGATAATTTTTTCTGACCTTGATGGAAGTGAGGTTCTTGTAAAACTCAGAATCCAGCGAGGGAAGCTCATCAATGGAGCTGTAGAAGGTGCTGTGGTGGTGACCCAGGACTTGACTGAGGAAGAAGGAGGCAAAAGGGACGTCCACAACTATACCCTGAATAGTAATAAACACACAGTTATTGAAGATCACCAGAACACCACGCTCAGAACAAAGAATCAGGCTGCTTTTTTTGAAGAAATCAAATG